CATCGCCCTCGGAGTCGCTGAGGGGCCGCAGGGGCGAGTGCAGGTCCTGGAAGTAGCGGTGGCCACGCTCGCATTGCCACACGGCCGTGGTGTAGAGCCCCACGGACGGGTCGAGCTCGGCCAGGCGCGGCTCGTACGGGCAGCGCTGCCGGTGGTCCTCGTACCAGATCACGGCGTGCCGCAGGCAGTTCACGTTCCGGCGGCGCCCTGGCCGCGGGGCACGGGGGAGAGCGAGGGATGGAACCCCAAAGTCAGGGGAAGAACCCCCCGAAGTCAGGGGAAGAACCCCCCGAAGTCACGCACAGCCTCCCCAAAGAGCACGGACTCACTTTTCTTGCGTTTGGGTTTTTTCGGGAGCTGCTCCCAGGGTTTGCTGTGGAGAGAGAGAGAGAGAGAGAGAGGGGTTGGGAGAAGGGGATTCTGCAGGACCCCCAGCCTTCCTCCTCCTCCTCCTCCTCTTCTTCCCAACTTTTCTTCTTTCCAGTCTCTTCCTCCTCCTTCTCCTCCTCTACCCCTCCCCTGCTCCTTCCTCCTCCTCTTCCACCGCTCTCTGCCTGTTCTTCATCCTCCAGGAGCACCGGGAACAACAGGGAGATGAGGAAGAGGAGGAGGGGGAATGAGGAAGGAGAGGATGAGGAAGGAGAGGATGAGGTACCAACCCTTCAGCACCGCGGACAGCGCCACGCCCGCTTCCCCTGAGGCCCGGGGCCGCTCTGCCACCCCAAAATCTCGGTGAGGGGGGACACCCCCAGCCCCTCCACGACCCCCGGACCCTTCCCCACCACCCCCAAACCCCCCGCTGCTGCCGCCCCCTCCCCAGCACCGCTGTCCCCGGACCCCGCGGGCCGTCCCCGGTTCTCCCCGGCGCTCACCCGCGCCGCCCCGCTCGCTGGCCGCGCTCCAGCCCCAGCAGGTAGGCCGCCAGTTTGGCGTCGCTCCATCCGCTGCGGCGCCGCAGCTCCACCCAGGGCCCGTGCGCCTCTCCCAGGTACACGCGCCTCACGTCGTATTTCTTGCGCGACTCCAGGCGCCGCCGAGCCCGGTCCGTCTCGGTGAGGCGCGGCCGCCCCCGAGCTTTGCGGCCCCCGCCGGGGTCGGGACCCCCGGGGCCGCCGGGGCCGCGCTCGGCCGCGCTCATGGCGCGGCGCGCTGTGATGACGTCAGCGGCGGCGCGGAGCGGCTCCGCGCGCATGCGCCGAGTGCGCTGCCCGCGGTCACTTTTGGGTGGGGGGGGGCGTCGGTCCCTAAATGGGTCCCGGCCCCATCTGAGGCCTAACCTGTACCAGGTGTGCAGGTACCCGCAGGTGTGCAGGTACCCGCAGGTGTGCAGGTACCCGCGTCTATTCACTGGGGAACCCCCCCAAACTGACTGGAACCCCCCTCCCCCCATACCAGAACCCACCGGGGACGCCCCTCCCCAAATTGAGATGGGGGCCATCACTCCCTCCCAGTGCCCCCAGTCACCCCCCGGGCTCCCCAAACTGGGTTTGGGGGGGGGCAGGAAATTCGGGAGGGGAAACGACCTCCCAGCACCCCCAACTCTCCTCCTGGGCCCCAAAATCCCCTCGTCTGGCCACCGGGTTTTGGGGGGTGGCACAAAACCCCTCCATGGCCCCCCCAAACCCCTCAAATCATGACACTCCCTCTCCGTCACAACACCCCTTTTATTCTCCGCTGCTTTTTGGGGGGTCTCCCCCTCGCTTGCCGCCGTCCTGCCCCTCGGGGGGCTCCAGCTCTGCTGCCGGGGGCATCCCCGAGCCCAGCCGTGGGGTCTGGGGTCCCTCGTGGGGGTCAGCAGAGGGGTCCCCGCCCTCGGTGAGGCGGAAGACGACGGGGGTGCGCCCCAACACCGGGTTCTGCTCCTGCAGCCCCGAAATCCACCTGCCCAAGGTGTGCCGGTCACCTGCTCCCGCCATGCACAGGGCGAACACGGGACCCTCCTCCACTGAACACGGGGGACAGGCGGGTCACAGGGGGGTGCAGGTGACCCCCCAAAAACCCACCCGACTCCCCCCCAAACTCACCTTCATCCACATCAAAGTCTTCATCATCCCAGGGGCCGCGCTCCAGGTCCAGCTCCAGGTACAGCGGGAAGTAAAAGCTGCGCTCGGGGTCTGGGGGGGGGTCCTGGGGGAGCAAGGGGGGCGGTTCTGGAATGTTCTGGGGGTCTCTGTCCCCTCCTGGAGCCCCCCCCAGGGTCCCCCCAGACTCACCCTGAGGTGTGGGGGCAGGGGGTCCCCCCGTAACACGAAATATTTGAGGAGGGTCCCGCGGAGCCACAGGGGGAAGGGCCCCTCCACGAACACCGGGCGGGAAGGGTCGTGCTGGGCCAGGAGCTGCCTCTGCTCCGGGCTCTGGGAGCCTGGGGACAGGGGGGACAGCTGGGGACAACCCAAACGCACCCCGGGGACCCCAAACCCAACATCAAACCCCCTCACGCAGCCTCCTAAAAAACACCAAAACCCTCCCAAGGGACTTCAAACCCCCTCACAGAGACCCCTAAAATACACAAATCCTTCCCCAGGCGCCTCAAACCCCTCAAACATCCCCTCAGGTTATCCCAAATCCTTCCCAAGGGACCAACCCCCTCCAGGGCACCCCAAGATCCCCCAAGGGACCCATCCAAGACCCCCCCAAAACTCACTGACAATGTAGGGCTGGACGGAGCCTTGGTCTTTTCCTGTGTCTGGCACGGGCCGCTGTGGGATGGGGACACAAGGGTCACTGCAGGGACACGCCCTGTCCCCATCCTGTGTCCGTGTCCCCCCAGCTGTGTCCCTGTCCCCATCCTGTGTCCGTGTCCCCCCAGCTGTGTCCCTGTCCCCTCACCTGTCCCCCCCCCACCCCGTCCCCCCTCTCCGTGTGCCCACCTGGATGACGCTGACGGTGGCCCCGGGGTCCCCGGCGATGCGCTGCAGCCCCAGGCGCGCCGTCGCCAGCCCGGGGGGCGGCAGCCGGGGGGGCAGCGGGTGGGGGTCCAGGTGGCGGAACCGGGGCAGCCAGAACATCATCCTCTGCACCTTCCTGAGGGGGCGGCTGCGCGGCCCGAACACCCCCAGCAGCAGGAACCGCGTCTCGGCGTCGGGAACCACCCCTGGGGACATCGGGGACACTCAGGGGACATTGGGGGGATTGGGGACGTGGAGGACATTGAGGGGACAGGTGACTCAAGAGAGGTGCCAAGGGACCCGTGGGGACATGAAGGGACAAGGGCTGGACACGACGGGACAGCACCAGGCACACCTGGGGGACACGAAGGGAGGGTGACACACACAGCAGGACAGGGCCACTCCAGCTGTCCCCCGAGGAGCAGAAAAAATCCCCGAAATTTGCCCAGCACGCACCGTATCGCTCCATCTGCTCCAGCACCTGCAGGCCGCACTCCTGCTGCCGCGGGAACGGGAACAGCAGGCGCTGCACGGGCCCGCGGGGCACCCAGGGCCCGCGGGGCAGGAGCCGCAGGAGCCCGTTGTAGGCAGCCAGGCTGCGCTCCACGCCCAGCGCCGGCATCGCCGCCAAGGCCGCCTCCACCAGCGCCAGGCGACCACCGCGGCCCGGTGGCGACCGAGCCATGTCCTGCAGGGCCGCCTCGAAGGCCGCGGGGCCGCGCCGGGGGGCTCCGGTGTCGCCGGTGTCGCCATCGTGGGGGTCCTGGTGGGAGTCGTCGTGGTGAGTCTTGTGGGAGCGGAGGCGTCGCGATGGGGCCTTGGGGGTGGCACCCCTGAAAGTGTCACCCCCCGAGGTGTCACCCCTCGAGGTGTCACCCCCCGAGGTGTCACCCCCCGAGGTGTCACCCCTCGAGGTGTCGCCCCCCAGAGGCGCACGGGGGTGCGGATCGCGCTCTTGGTCGCGTATCTCGTGTAAACGGCGATGCCACGCTGGTGTTCCCGAGGTGGCACCTCGCGAAGTGTCACCCCTTGTTGGGGTGTCGCCCTCCGTGGGGTGGCACTGCTGCGGCCTGCGAGGTTTTGGGGTCCCCGCGGTGTCACCCCCTTCAGTGGGAGCACGAGCTGGGCGCTGGCACAAGCTCCGACAGAGCTGGGGAGGGAAAAGGGGTCACCACGCCTGTCCCCGTGTCCCCCCGCCATGGCCCTCGTGTCCCCCCGTGTCCCCACAGCCCCTCTCTCCCCCCTGTCCTCGGCGTCCCCCGCGCCTGCCGGACTCCCCCCGCACCTCCGGCACTGCGGGGCTGCCCCAGAGGCCCCGGGGCAGCGCCCGGACCCAGTTCAGCCTCATGTCGCCGGTTGTCGCCGCGGTGTCGGGGCTCACGGCCCAGCCCCGCTGTCCCCACGCCGGGTCGCGCCGCTGGGCGCCGCCATCTTGGCCGTGACCCCGCGCGTAAGGGCCAGGGGGCGGGGCCTTCCGGAGCGGCCAATCAGCGCGCGGCTTTGAGCCGCCAGCGCGGTGATTGGCAGGGAGCGCGGGGGCGGGGCTAGGAGGGGGTTCCCCCGTGACGTCAGAGCGGGACCCCGGGATGAGCTCAGGGACGGGGTTACGCGGTGACGTCACACGGGGTTTAACGATGATGTCAGAGCCGCACCGGGGGAGGGAGAGACCCCGACGGAAGCTCGGGGTGGGGGGGGGGACACCGAGGGGTTCCCCAAATCCCTGGGGCGGGGGGGGGGATCCTGGGTGTCCCCCCAGTCCCTTGGGGGGGGTCTCGGAGTCGCGGGGAGGGGGCGGGGACGGACTGGGGGAGGGGGAGGGGGACATTCCCCACCCGTGACGAGTCGTGTCCCCCCCCCGAGGGGGCGGCGGAGTCCGATCCGGTGACGGCACCGAGTGGGGAACGCGGCGGGGGGAGAACCGCGGTGTCCTGGGGGGGGGCCGCGGCACCGGGGGTGGGGGGGGGGTCCCAAATATCCGGGATAGAGACCCCAGGTGACCCGCGGGGGGTCCCCAGGAATCGTGGGGAGACCCCGGTGCCCTCGGGGGGGGTCCCCGCTCGAGGGGGACACCCAGGTGACCCCGAGGGGGGACACAGGTGTCCGGTGGGAGGGGGGAGAACGGGAGAGGGCCGGTTTGGGCCGGGGGGGCCGTTCCGGGACTCCCCTGGCACCCCCCGGGATCCCCCCCCCCACTCCGGGATCCCCCCCGCTAAATGTGGAAAAAATGACGCCATCACCCGCCCCGCCGTGACGTCAGCGAGGCGGAGGCCTCGGATTGGCTGCGGCCGGCCCGGGCCGGGGGGGGCTCCGCGCCCACCGCCCACTTTTAAAAGTGGCGGCGGCGCCGGGACGGGACCGGGAGCGACCGACCGAGGGCACCGACCCGACCCGAGGGCACCGACCCGACCCGGGACAGCCCCGAACCCACCCGGGACAGCCCCGAACCGGCGCGACCCGCCCGCCTCGACCCCCACCGGAGCCACCGAGACCCCCCCCGGGACCCCCGAAATGTCCAACGCGCACTTCAACCGCGGCCCGGCCTATGGGCTGTCGGCCGAGGTGAAGAACAAGGTGAGCGGCACCGAACCGAACCGAACCGGGGCGATCCTGGCGGGGCCGGGCAGGTGCGACCCTGCCGGGGTGGGGGAGGGGGGCGGCAGCTCCGGGGGCGGGCAGGGGTCGCGGCAGGACCCGGCGGGAGCGGGGGCGGGACCCGGCGCTGTCCCTGGTGCTGCCCCGGGAGGGAAGAGACGGGCACCGGGACAGGGGGGCGGCACCGGGGTGTCCCCCCCCTCCCCCGGGGGGTCTCACCGGGCTCCGGTTTAGCGGGGACGGTGTTGGGGCTGCCCGGGGAGCTCCGCACCCTCCGGTCCCTCCGGCAAGCGGGAGGTGGCGGGAGCGGGTCCCCGGTGGCGATGAGGGAGGGGAGGGGGCGACACCGAGGTTCACCCCCCCGTGAGCACCGGGAGGTCGTGCTGGGCACCGGGTGGTTAAGGGTTAACGGGAGTGGGGGGTTTGGTGGCCCGGGGGGCTCCCGGTCCTCGCGGCGGGCGGGACGTGGCGAGCACCGGGACCCCCTCGGGACGGGGGGTCCGGGGATGGCGACGCCGGGGTCACCCCCTGAGCACCGGGGGCTCCCGCCCCGTTAAGGGTTAACCCGGACGGGGTTCGGGTGTCCCGGGGGGGGGCCCCACCGACCCCCGAACCCGCGGGAGGTGACGGACACCGAATTGGAGCGGGGGGAGGTGGGGAAGGCGACACCGGGATCCCCCCGCTGTGGCGGCGACACCGGAACGGAGCGGGAGGACACCGAGAGACCCCCCCCCACCACCACGAGCCCCGGGGAGGGGGAGGGAAAGGGGGCGTCCCGCCGGTGTCCGCCCCGTGAAGGGTTAACGGGGGGCGGTTCGGGTGAACCGGCGGGCGGGAGATGCCGGACACGGCGGGGGG